TCAATCAATGTTTGTAGGAAACCGACAAACGCCCTTTTTGTGAGAAGTCGTTGATGAATAGACACGACAAAACGCAAACAGTGTAGCCTGGCATCGCACACGAACACGTGCATTGACAAATTGCTTTCACCGGAAGGAGTGAGTGAGTGGTTCTATGCCGCTTTTAGCAATATTCAAGCAACATCACGGCGGGTGACACTGAAATGGGCTTCACACAGTGTGCCCAGGTGGGAATCAAAACCGGGTCTAGGCTACCCCACCCCCTTCAGGAACAAGGGAACATAACCTACAATCTAGTGTGATGACCACTGATGTTTATATACAGGTCTTCCATAATATTTGTGACAGAAAAGGTTTACTGACAGATATCTGCTAGCCAATGTCTCACATGCCAACAGTTGTATTCATTCAGATCAGTCTGGACCCGACTGATATAGATCATTATCCTACCTTCATGTAAAATACTGTGATTTCATTGGTCAATGTCGCTTCAAAAAGTTTCCGTGTCACCCCTTCTAGGAGGGTGACAACTGGAAAAACTATTACCCGCTGCCACGGTAACCGCCAAACTCTCCGTCGAGAAGCTGCATCGCTAACAATCATATGATGCATTCAGTCCACGGAGATCGAAAACCGTTCGATAAGCTCTTTTTGAGTTCACTATGTACACATTTATTTTACTGACTTTCACTGCTTTATCTGAACTATTTTATACATTGAACCGTTTGCACATTAAACTTACAGACCCGTGAATGTCCGGGTTAGAATATTGATCCTCAGTAACCCATGCTTGTCGTAAGAGGCGACTAACGGGATCGGGTGGTCAGGCTCGCTGACTTGGTTGACACGTCATCGGTTCTCAAATGCGAAGATCGATGCTCATGCTGTTGATCACTGGGTTGTCTGGTCCAGTCTCGATTATTTACAGACCGCCACTATATAGCTGGAATATTGCTGAGTGCGGCGTAAAACTAGACTCACTCTCTCACTCACTCACTAAACTTAAACACAATTAACCATTGTTATAGCAGTTTAAGCTTGTCAGAATATGATTCACTGATTTTAAATATCCAGAGAGGCAGACATTTTGTTTACATGTCATATAGTCGGTATTTTATCGATCTTCAAAACACCACACACACACACACACGCACGCGCGCGCACACACACGCACACACACACACGCCGATATTTTGTACATTTAACATGGCGGTAAAATAAATACGTTGTATGCTTCTCCCTCGGGTAATATGGTCTGATGTACGCTTTTTTGTAGCAGTGTCTATCCGCTCGGGTCACACTGCTACAAAGAGGCGTATTACCCTCGAGAGAAGCATACAACTTATAGTATGAGCCCGACCCCGTCATAGCTCCTTTCATAATACGAGCACTCCTTTAGGCTTCACCGCATCATTAAGCTGTCACGAATTATGTGAAGATGATGCTTTGTTTGATAAACCGAATAACATTAAGTCAATATTGTGCATTTTAATATTTCTTCATACACATTTTAATAAACGAACATTCCAGTAAAACAAGCGTGTTATCGTCTTGAGAAACTCACACTTCCTACTTACGTTTATCAGTCTGGTAAAGCTGATACCCGTGGATGGTGGTTGAGGCAACAGTCACATTTTCAAAACGTTCCCGCAGAGTGACACACGCTGGCCCATCTAAATAGAAGTGAAAACTTTGGCAGAACTTCTCTCTGCTACATGCAACCAAACAGTCCATCTTTGTCACATTTGTGAAAGCATGTATTTCAGACTGCAGTATCTTCTTGTCATTGTACTCTTCAATGCGTATCGCATGCAACGACTTGTAGGATGGGGATGTCGCGGTGTAACGCAGCAGGGGGAAACAAACAAAGTAGATACACCTGAAGTTGAGACCGAAGAACGACGACATCTGCATGGTGTGAGTACCGAAAATATAAACTGACAACGGCTAAAATACCTCACGTATGAAGAAAATCAATAACTTGCTGTATACATTAACACCACATTACACACCTTCAAACACAGTGACAGAGTGATCCCTCTGACAGGTTAGGGCTTCCATTATTAATGAGGCGAACTGAAAACCACTGATACGTGTTCTGTGAAAAATGAAATATTCAATAAGTGGTTGCTGGTGACAGTCACACCACTGTAAACACCTTCGCATAAAAACAAAGAAAACATATTTTATATTGATAGATTTTATACTGTATATACCTGTACCGTTCTTTATTTTTATTTTTAGTGTTTATAATGCATTATGGTCTCCCATAACTCTTGAAGGGTGGCTCACGGATATGTTATATTTTATATGTATGTTTTATATTGTTGTGAGGTGAGACTTAAATAAAACAAAATTGTCTGTCTGTCATAATGTAAAAGCCATCATTACCAGTAAGACAAAAACAGTTTATTCTGAAAGTGTTCACAGTTTTTACCTTTGTAGCTTTCATAATTATTTACGTAACACGTGTATAATTAAATAGACAATTTGAAGTCACCGTACTATGATGTGTTAAGTGTTCATCCTAGAGTGGCATTACGCATCCAAAGACAGTATCGAAAGAGTTGATGCCCAAGTTGAAACAGACTGCCTGACTGAGTTTGGTTTTACGCCGCTTTTAGCAATATTCCAGCAACATCACGGCGGGGGACACAAGAAATGGGCTTCGCACATTGTACCCATGTGGGGATTCGAACCCGGGTCTTCGGCGTGACGAGCCAACGCTTTAACCACTAGGCTACCCCACCGCCCAGTTGAAACAGAAAGATTAACTGTGAATCTGACTGTAAAAGGTTAACTGTGAATCTGTCTGTAAAAGGTTAACTGTGAATCTGTCTGTAAAAGGTTAACTGTGAATCTGTCTGTAAAAGGTTAACCGTGAATCTGTCTGTAAAAGGTTAACCGTGAATCTGTCTGTAAACGGTTAACCGTGAATCTGTCTGTAAAAGGTTAACTGTGAATCTGTCTGTAAAAGGTTAACTGTGAACCTGTCTGTAAAAGGTTAACTGTGAATCTGTCTGTAAAAGGTTAACTGTGAATCTGTCTGTAAAAGGTTAACCGTGAATCTGTCTGTAAAAGGTTAACCGTGAATCTGTCTGTAAACGGTTAACCGTGAATCTGTCTGTAAAAGGTTAACTGTGAATCTGTCTGTAAAAGGTTAACTGTGAACCTGTCTGTAAAAGGTTAACTGTGAATCTGTCTGTAAAAGAACTAGTTGTGACACCAACACATCAAAGCTGTATGATGTGATTAACAATTGTATTCTAAAGATAGCTGCCACTCGTGAAGAGCAGCCCCCTTGCGGTGAGTGCTGGGTAACGCTAATAGCTATTCCCCTGTGTGGACCCGGGACATAATAGGCCCTCAACACCCCATTGCTGGTCGTAAGAGGCGACCAAATTGGGCAACCTGTTTGCCGTGAGTTGTGCCCCTGTGTCGGTGGAGGAAGGGATTCTGTGGTTAAGGGCAAATGAACTTGGAACCGTTTTATTTTGTCCAACACACAACTTCGACCGTGACCTCACCTAGGACATTGTCAGAGGTGACGTTGCACGGCAAAACACAACGTTCAGACTACGAGAAGTCCTGGGGTGGTTGGGCAGTCATCACTGCAGTCTGAAACCTGTGGCGAAGATGGGTCACCCTTATCCATCTGTCCTGTCTTGGCGTTGTTACACGTGGACGTCCAGAACGTGGCCGATCGATGACGTCATTTGTGTTCTGGTAGCGTGTCACCAGTGCAGAAATGGTGTTCCGGTGGCAGGGGAGATATGCAGCCACTTGTCGTTGAGACATTCCCCTACGGACCATCCCAATGGCCTCTTGACGTTGTGCAATAGCCTTTTAATTTTTTGAACGATCGCAAGGGCAGGGGTTGAGCTTTCCAAATTGACAGTATTGTGTGGCATTCATATTGCTCTGTTTCTCTTTCCCGGAATGCACGTGCAACAACGTATTCCACGTCTCAAGGACGAACCCACTGAGGTCACGGAACATGGCACGTGCATGCATGTTGGATACATGTCACTAATTTCTGAGTTTAAATCCTTATGTGTCTAAACAGGTTTGATAAATTTAGACTTTAATTTTTTGTATGCACAGTTTCTTTATATGCCTAGTATAGGACAATATTGCATGATAGTTTCTTAAACAACTTGATCGATCATAAAAGTCAGATTTAAGATCCTGTTGGGTACAGAGGTTTCAGGAGCATGTGTCTTATTCATGTTTTGTCCACTTATCCCTATTTCGAGTTATTTAATCAATAATTCGTCGTTCTCATTTGAACCCTAAAGGACTGTTTCTGACATTTGAATCATCAAAATCTGTATGATCAGCTTCGGAAGCTATATCTCATCATGAGTGACCCGATCGGACAAGTCATGTTTAAGTCCTTTGTAGTTCCACTGAATTATATTGACAAATTGAGTCATGATGATTGTTTTTGAAAATGGGAAGGGGAACTATTCCTCCGCCTAGTGACCTCCATATCTAGAGGTCCAAAGGAATTTTGGAGAGGAACCTCTGAAGATGAAGAGTCAGTAGATGGCAGGTTTCTATGTAACCTTTTCCTTTCTTCCTTTTTTTCTTTTGATAGATTGTTGGCTGGCTGTGAAGTGGTTCGTTGTGATGTGTCAGGGAGAATTTCTGTCTGAGACCCAGACGTCAACTGGGGCAGTAGCTTTTTTGGATGAAAAGACCATGACATGCAGCTGACGACGTTGCTATAGAATGGGTGACTGCAGCGGAATAAGTGATATTTGAAGGAGTTGCAGATTCATTCATGTAAAGGCATTTTAGGGGCTTCGTGATAGGAAATGTCCTGCATATATAAAGCTTTGACATATACGGTATGGCCTAGATGATACAAGATGTGTCCCGTTGCAATTTACTCATATGAGATCATTCTCACTGTCTGTGCCGTCATGGTGATCCCATCAGCGATGTCAGACTGCAAATTATGGCATGAATTGGAACCATGACCAAACTGTTGACATTTGTAACACTGCTAGCATTAGAACTCACATCTGATGCAGAAGACCGACTGACTGCCTGCGTTTGGTTTTACGCCGCTTTTAGCAATATTCCAGCAAGATCACGGCGGGGGACACCCGAAATGGGCTTCACACATTGTACCCATGTGAGGATTCGAACCCGGGTCTTCGGCATGATCTGATGCAGAAGAAGTGGGACACCCAAGTAGGTATTAATAAATTACATGCAATAAAACCCTGTATTTGTTATACCTACTTGGGTTATCAGTCCAGATTTGAAGAGGTCATCATGCGACGAAGTCGTATTGGCCACACAAGACATACTTACGAATATCTATTGAAAGGTGAGGATCCTCCGTTTTGTATCCCTTGTGATGAAAGAATCACGGTCAAGCATGTCCTGCATGACTGTTGAATATTCCATCACAAGGGATATCTATTTTAAATCACGAACTATGCAGGATATTTTTAATAGTAACAGTTCTTATTTAATTATTGCGTTTTTAAAAGAATTTGATTTGTTAAATACAATATAGATACATATTTTATGATTGGCAGTTTGAATTAGTGACTCGGATTGTTAGTGGCTGTATCATCAAAGGGGGTTAAAGTACTGTAAAAATATTGTCTTCCTGAGAGGGTACCTAAGTCCCAAAACATTCAAAGTAAATTTTAACTCTGCACCATTTAATCGTAGTATATGTGTCTTTTTAATGTCTGGCTAGATTTGTCTAAATTGTTAACAGCTGAAGGGATGGTGTAAACCCAGCTAGAGCCCAGTGATTACGAGAAATATGCCCGAGTTGGGGAGGCACTGAAAATTATTTTAAGGAGGGCATATTTCCTGTAATCACTCTTACCGATTTGGTTATTCTATTTATTACCCACAATGTAATTTAAAAAGAAGAACCACGAAATAAAAAACACCCGGAGAGAGGACCTTCTGACCTCAAACAAATGATTCGTATTCATGCCCGTATTAAACCTAACATCTCCTGAGGTAATAACATAAATACGCAATGGAAAATAGTACCTCGTGAAATGGCTTTAAAATACCACAGAAATATTTTTTATGGAATAATATATTAACATTTGTTAATATGATGAAGATAATCTTTTAAAGACAATATCATTGGACATAATAACAGCTAAAACGTTATTTGATCAAGTCAGTGCGCCGTGACAGCGTTCATTCACGACTGACGTGTGTCTTGTGACGGGTGACGATGTAGTGTTGATGCACACTTTGGAAAAAAACTTTGGGAAAGTCGACGGTTCAAAGCTGGGAAATGTAAAAGCCAACCATCCAACGAATACATCTAGAATACGTATTTCTGTCAAGAAACTCAACAAGTCTGAAGATTAAACAACATTTTCGTCTGTGGAAGGCGTGTTACAGTCACGTCATAGGTCCCAGTAGAGTACAGCAGTTCCAAGAAGGATAACTCTATTCGGAATCCGAGTCAATGGGAAGAATATATCTCTTTGGAGCAGATGGTCAGTTGACAGAGGAGTCATTCGAGATGTTGAAGAGGAATACAAAGACAAAGACATTTGGAGACAGATGTTTCTCAAAAGCAGGTCCTATGCTTTGGAACAACATCCCATTGGGCATTAAAAGTGCAGAGAAAATCTGTGCATTTAAGAGAATGTTGAAAACATTCTTTTTCAAATCATGTTACAGTTCCGAGTGACTCTTTCCTTGTCAGACTCATACGAAAGCGCCTTTGAGCAGGACTCATCTGGATATTGGCGCTATATAAATCTCTATATATTATTATTATTATTATTATTATTACAGCACCATAAATTGGGCCTGAGAATAGTGTTTGTACAGAATGAAGATTTACGGCATGCGACAAAGACTGGCGTCATGGTGGCAGCCTGAGACAGAGGATGAGTGGGCAGAGCTGTGGTTTGACAACAATTTCTTGATGGACTGATCTTGTTTCTCATTAATTGAAGAGTAACTGTTTATTGATTGAACATTTTTTGTGCCCGACATTTGCATGACTTGATGTGCTGGTACACCATTGTCAAAGAGGGTGTGGATGAGATGTCTTCGGGATCTGGGTTAGCCTAATGGCGGCCATGTAAACAAACAATGCAAACGATTGTTGTTTTTGTGTGGTAAGATTATTTATTTTAACAAGACTACTATTTATAACGCAATTTTATTGCAAGTTAATGTCTTATAAAAAGAGTATTCATATTCTTTAATCTTTATGTTTTCTTTTTTATATCGGCACCCTTTGAAGAGCAACCTCCTCGTGGTGGGTGCTGGGTAACGCTAATGGCTCTTTGCCCCCGTGTGGACCCGGGGTCGAATAGGTCCACAACACCCCATTGCTGGTTGTAAGAGGCGACCAAATTGGGTAGCCCGTTTGCCGCGGGTTGCGTCCCTGTGTTGGCAGAGGAAGGGAGTCTGGTGGTTGAAGATGACAGAACCTGCAATCATGTTCAATAATCCAACACACCACTTTGACCCTAACTTTACCTAGACGGGTGTGTAGAATAGGCCCGATTCTGCCAATCGGCTGGTCACGCCTTGCCCTGTGCATGGAATGTTTACACAAAATGTTAACTGATATTCTGCCAAAACCAATCAGCCGTGCAGACCTATGCACAGAAGGCGGTGGTTCATGGGCCAATCTGGTGATGCTGACCTCCGATTTCTGTACGTCTCCAATTGATTGTCATGCACCGAACCATCCTTTAATCTGGTAGACAGCTACAGCATTCCATGTCAAATTCGCTGGAGTATAACACCCCCTTATCCTCGGTCTTTGCATCTTGGAGATCCGCTGCAGTATAAGATCGTCCTTGTTGACACTCCATGGTGAGTGAGGGGGTGGCGAACCACATTCCTAACGACATGGCTTTCCAACACGCCGGTTCAAAATGGAGACATATGGATTAAGACATTTCCTCGTCTGACGAGAGTACGCCCATTCGACCTGATTACTGGCCACGTTTTTTAATCATCGAAGCTTGTGACAAGCAACCTTTCCAATTGAATCCATTTGCAGTATGCAAGGGTATCGCTGGTATCTGCGGATAGGTTGCCAATGTCACAAAGCTCCTACTGAAATTACAAGAGTTTGTCAATGTAAAGGTTGCTGTCTCAGCGCACAAAACACTAAACACGTGTAGAGACACTGTACGTGACAGAGTTCGATGCCTGTCTGACATGACTAAAGAACAAATTGTCCAGGGACTCTCCCAGCAGTCTGTCACAGCTGTAAAGAGATTCATGATCAAGAAGGACGATGTGGTTCAACCCCCAAACACCTACATCTTTACGTTCGCCTGATCTAAGATTCCCGAATCGATTAAACCTGGTTATTGTAGCATTGGTGTGGGGGTGTACGTACCCAGTCCACTCCGGTGCTACACCTGCCAAGAGTTTGGACATATATCTAAGTCCTGTCGTTCCTCTGCTGTTGGTTACCGCTTTCATGAAGCTGAGAAGAGGGTTGCAAGTTTATCTGTAACCCCGTCAACCATCACTTACTCTTCTGCTGTCTCCCGTCCTTCTATCACTACTGCAACTATCTCGTGTAAGACCGATCTGACATGGGTCTCATCTTCTCAGCCCATCTCAGCCATTTTACCACCAAAACCAAAAGTCAAAACCTCTGAATCACAAACACCAGAACCAATGCCAAAGCCAGAAACAGAAACTGTGCGCCAAAAAAGGAAAGGAAAGAAACTACAGAGACTAAAGTAGCTTGGGCAACTGCCAAACCCCAAACCAAAGGCCACTTCTCCTTTAGATGTCCCCGTCGAGGTCCACAACTCCTTTGGCCCTCTGGATATGGAGGTCACTCCATCCCCACCTGACACCAGTAGGAGTACTTCAAACGCTTTCTCACGGTCACGTGACATGTGACATGTGACCAGTGGAAGCACTATGAATCCACAAAACATGATTCAATGGAATTGCAGAGGACTCAAAAATAATTTTAATGAACTGCAGTTATTGATCCAAGATTTTAAACCATCTGCGTTTTGTCTCCAAGAAACCTACCTAAAAAGAACTGATAAACTTGACACCCGTCGGTATAGTTCATACCACTACTTTTCTCCTCCTGGTGTTAAAGCTACAGGAGGCACTTCTATCCTGGTGAGGCAGGGCATCCTCTATAGCCCTGTTCCACTTAACACCAACCTACAAACTGTTGCAGTCCGAATGACTCTGAACATAGGGTTTACACTGACTCCGAATGACTCTGAACATAGGCAGATTACCCCAGTTCATATCCCAGTTTTTAAACAACAGACAATTTCAAGTACGGGTGGGTTCCACATTATCTGACTATTTCCACCAAAGCCAGGGCGTCCCTCAAGGCAGCATCCTGTCTGTCACCCTTTTCAGCATCAAAATTAACATCCTCACTAACGTCTTAAATAGTTGTGGTGATGGGTCCCGTTTTGTAGATGATTTCAATATTTCATGCTGTTGTAAGATTATGCATGCAATAGAAAGGCAGCTACAACTCAGCCTTAACAAAATCCAAAAAGGATCTAGACCTATCTTTAGATGGTACGCCTATAAAGGTTGTAGAAGAGGCCAAATTCCTGGGACTCATATTTGATCGTCACTTGGCATTCTTACCACACATAAAATATTTAAAAACAAAGTGCTTGAAGGCCCTTGACTTACTACAAGTCGTTTCAAATACAGAGTGGGGAGGGGATCAGATTACCCTCCTTCACCTGTACAGATCATTGGTTCGCTCTAAACTGGATTACGGCACCATTGTCTGTGGTGGAGCCTGCAAAAGCGTTTAGAAAAATTAGATTCTATCCACCACCAAGGCCTTAGGCTCTGTCTTGGAGCCTTTAGGACCTCTCCGGTAGACAGTCTATATGCGGAGGCTAACGAACCTTCCCTTGAACAACGCCGCATTAAACTTTCACCGCAATATATCACTAAATTGCGTTCAAATGAGTCCAATCCAGCATACACTTGTGTATTCAACCCTCTCTACGAAAACCTCTTTCCTAAAGTGCCAAGCCTGATTCCACCACTTGTAATCAGAGTTCAACCACACATATCTGCAGCTATAATTGATCTTGATATCATAGCACCTTACCGGCTTCTGTCTTCGCCACCCTGGCAGATGGTGAAGCCACAGATCGATCTTACCCTCACCTATCTAAAAAAATCTGAAACAAATCCTTTGGTGTTCCAACGGGAATACAAACAGTTACGTTCCAAGTATAACATAGATCCATTTTCACAGACGGATCCAATGATGATGGCCAAGTTGCCAGTGCTACAGTCATTGGATCCAAGACTGTCTCCTCTAGAATCCCAGGCAACAGTTCCATTTTCACTGCTGAGGCCAAAGCTGTCTTGACAGCTTTGACCTATATTAAACACCAGAACTACTAAAAAAACTTCATATATTTTTTTACAGATTCATTATCTTGCCTTCAAGCACTTCAAAATTTTACTTCAAGTCACCCTATCATCCTAAACATTTTAGAACTTTACAACGACCTTTCTACTGGCCAATGTGACATCGTCCTCTGCTGGTTGCCGGGTCACGTCGGCATAGCAGGTAACACAAAGGCCGATGCTGCAGCTAAAGTTTGACAAGCCCTCCACTGTTGATCCCGTACAGTGATTTCAAACCCACTATCAAAAGTTATAGTCAGGACCTCATGCAAAAAAGGTGGGACGCTCAAGTAGGAAGAAACAAACTTCATGAACTAAAGCCAACAATTGGTTTTGTCAGTTGGTTTGTCAGTCAAGATGTGATGAAGTAATTTTACGAGGATGTCACATTGGCCAGAGTCGGTTTACTCATGACTTTCTGTGGAAACGGATCGGGATGGACCTCCCATGTGTGTCTCTTGCGACGAAGTGTTCACCATCAAGCATATTTTGCTTGACTGTGTGGACTTTTCGACTGCAAGGGACTCACATTATGATGCGATAAATCTGAAAGATCTGTTTTCCCCTGTGAGCGGGCATATGATTGTAAATTACCTGAGGGAAGCTGACCTGTATTATAAATTGTAACTTTGTAAAGAGAATAACGATTTGCTTGCTTTTGTATTTGGTGCTAAAACATTTTTGGTTTTTTACATGGTAGTGTAATGAAAATATATGTTTTTAAAACAAAACTCTTTTGGACCTAGTTTTGGAGGGAGTTTTGGACTTAGAATGGTAATAAATGTAAACGTCACAATATGGCTGGAATAACGGCGATGTGACGTGAAGCCCAACTCAACTCTTTTTCAAATCTCGGAATGTGAGTACAGCACGTTCTCATTATCAATGAACGGTAAAAGTTGTCAATGAACTTGGATCATGAAAAGTAGTTCCGTCAACCAATCATATTTCGTCTCTGCTTAGCTGACCAATCAACGTTGAGAATCACTGAAAAGCAAAGTGCGATTATTACAAAAATAATCACCTGTGTATCCTAGCCCGTATGGGAAATAATATTAACTTCCCCACAAACCCCATGGACAGCTTTGGACACAGCCAATGTGTTCAGCTTAATGGGTAGATAGTCGGAAGTCTCAATCACTAGGAATCTAGGCCAGGAATCAACGTTTGCAGAATTAGTGTCCGATGGTCAATCTAGTTCGTCGAGACGTTGCTTTTAATCTCCCGCAACGCCCTTTGAGAGAGAGATGGGGGTGGGGATGGGGTGTGTGTTTTACAAAGGACTCCGTCCGTCCGTCCACATTTGTCGTCTCCTAGAGCAGAACTTTAAAACCTTTCAATATTTCTTCACCAAATTTGGCACATAGGTAGGTCTGGTGATGAACTGGTGCTTTGGGTAGTATTGCATGTCTGAATAAGATATTTTTTTGTGCGTCCATGACAACAAGTTTCACATCGACTGACAAGTGTGTACATGCACATATTTTGATAAGAGGGCATTCCATTAAAACAATGGTGTTAATATCTTTGAGAGAAACTTCCTACTTATGTTTATCAGCCTGGAAAAGTTGATACACGGTGACGGTGGTCGAGGTTGCATAAAAAACATGTTCAAAACGTTCTCGCAAGGTGACACACGTTCGACCATCAGGGTAGAAGTGAAAACTTAGACAGTACTTCTCTCTGCTACATGCTGTAAATAAGTACATCTTTGTCACATTTGGCAAAGTATTTATTTCAGACTGCAGTATTTTCTTACCGTCGAACTCCTCAATGCGTATCGCATGCAACGATTTGTAGGATGGGGATGCCGTGGTGTACCTCAGCAGGGGGAGACTAACAAAGTAGACGAGCCTGAATAACGATGACATCTGCATGGCCTGAGTTTCCGAAAGTATATAAACTGACTTTCGATGTGTGTTCAATGTGATATTGCTTTGACAAGACTAAAGCTTTTATGTCCTATGAAAAATGCAGAAAATCAATGGTTGCTGGTTTCTTGTTGCATTCAGTCACTGTAAACACTTAAGCCAGCCATTCATGCCATAACATAAAACAAAGTGTTCACTGCCTTCACCACGTCGGAGCTTTCATAATAAATTAGGCAACCCCTTGAGTATAAGCCAGGCAATGTGAAATCACCATACCATGTAGTGTTAAGTGTTGATCCTAGAGTGGCAGTACACATGCAAAGGCAGTATCGAATGAGTTGATTCCCAAGTTGAAACTAAATGGTTAACTGGGTATGTGTGTAAAAGTGTGACACTAACATACACTTTGTACCTTAGATAAAAGAACGAAGATGTGACATCTGGCCCTGTTTATCAGAAGGAGAAAAGACTTTCATGCAAGAAAGGACGAAGATATAACACGTTTCTCAGAAGGAGATATTGACTTTAATTTTGTTCATTGTAGCTCTTGTTTTTAAAAAAAATAAAAGAATTAATAGTTAACAGTTAATAGACCATTGCTTAAAGTTAAATCGTTTGCTGGGTTAGTGTGGTCATTGCTATCTTTACTTTTCTAAAGAAAGGGAGATGTTGAATAATGATTACTCCCTCAGAGTCTGTAGAATGACTGGTCCATGCGCAAACGAGC